GAGACCCCCCCAGCACAGCAGCCATCCATCAGGCGCGGGCGGCTGGCCCTGAGGCCCCGTCAGCACAAAGAGGAATGGGCCGAGACGATTTACAGCCGCCGGCAGCCACCGCCAAGGCCCCCGTCCCGATCGATCCCTGCGCCCGGCGGAGACAAGCCAAGGCCGGGCCCTGCCAACACCCCCCACGTCTCCTGCCACCCTCGTCTCCACCCCAGCACAACCAGCCTGGCCACACACCGTGCACCCCGCTCTGGACTCAGCACCACTGTCCCATGGGACAGGGAGAAACTGAGGCAGGCAGCAGGGCCGGCCTGTCCCCACGTGCTCGCTCTTCTGTTGCTGGGCCAGGAATAGCAGGCAGTGCCCGGCCGCAAGTCCCGCTGCACCGCGGGCAGGGTCATTAACGCCCGCGCCCAGCAGGCAGCGCCCGGGCAGGGCCAAGCCGGCTGCAATGGGGTGGGGAGGGGGTGAGTGGCTCCAGGGGCACTAGGATGCAGCCCCCCACAATGCCCCGACCAGGATGCCCGCAGCAGGCACCTGCACCCAGGATGCGGGCGCTGCAAGTGGCAGGGACGTAGATGCACGGAGCGAGTGGAGTTGACACCCCAGGGGCTGATCAACAGTTTGGGCCGAGCTGCCCGAGGGCCGGGGAAGGTGTGGGACCGAGCTGGCCTGGAGTCTGGGGGCCACAATGGTGCTGCGCAGGGGAGGGCAGGAGGCAGGTGCGAGGCCGGGGCGCTGGCGCTGGCGCAGCTCCTTGCTCACTCTCCCTCAGGCGTGGGGAGTGGTCCTGTGCCCTGCGCCCAGGGAGGGGCCAGCTTGACCCAGCCAAGCAGGGAGGTGCTGGGTCACGCTCTGAACAGACCGCTGTAGTTGTGGCGGGGGAGTAGGGGGCGCTCCTGCGCTGAGCCGCCCACAGAGGAATATCAGAGGAATCCCATAGAGCAAACCAGGGTGGCTGAGGTAGCCGTTTCAACACGCATCTGAGTTACTGAAGCTAAATATCTGATCGGATCTCGAGTAGGTTACTCACTCGCATCGTCCAGAGGTGCTTGTTGTTTCCTCTGGAGGCAGGGCACTCTTGGAGCATGCGGTGATGAGGAGAGAGCCAGGGTCAGATTCACCTGGATGACCGCATGGCTAATGGCTGCCTTCTTCCTGGCCCGGGCCCTTAAATAACCTCTCTGACCTCAGCAGCCCGGTCCAATCG